GGAGGAGGCACGGAGGGCAGGGGGGACTTTGCTGCGTGGGCCCCGTGGGCCCAGCCGAGGTGGGGAGGTGGAGGCGGCGGGGGAGAGGGGCGGAGGGAGCGGAGGAGACGGGCGGACGAAGGGACGAAGGAAGCGAGAGAGACGGGATGGGGGAGGCGACGAAGGAACAACGTGGAGAGAGAGAGAGAGAGAGAAAGGGGGCTGGGAGGATGAGGAGGGGGGTTACCCTGGGAAGGGGCGGTGCTCTTGCATAGTGGGCGCTACGGCACAATCAGTTCTCATGACCGGATTGCTGCGTGCGCCATCGGACCCTGCGGCAATTGTAACCGTGGCGCCTTCGCGCCCAACTCCCCGACGCAACAAATTGCAAACGGCATCGCAACATCACTCGGGAAATTTCTGGGGTCAACGCCCACACTTTGGAGAAGGGGCAGAACTGACGGATGACGCGCTACAACGCATGTGTCGCATAACTTCACGGGCAGAATGGGCATGGTAGACTTCCGTGGAAGGGTGCGCCCTGGAGCCGTCTTACCCTGGGCAGCCCCAGTAAGCCAGATGCGCCAATATCAAACTTAGGTCGGGCATATTCCCCGTGCAGGGTGATTTGGGATGAAAAATGAAACGGTCAGGAAAAACTCAACAATATATATATATATATATAGAAAAAAACTAATCCAAACATCGTTCCCATATTATTATTTGACTATTTTTGAATACTCCTCCTGTAGAGGGACAGGCCCGACTTAATATTGAACCTGGGACTGAACTAAAACAGGCTGGTGTCAATTAAGGTCAGTTTCCGCCCAAGGATATAACAGCGCCGCTGATGAATCAATCCTCCCTTCAGTTGCATCCCGATATGCGAACGTGCTGTAGCATCTGTAACTGTATGGCTATTTTCTTCAGGCTCGGACCTGTCGAGGTGGGACACGCAAGGCGTGCGCGAAAGCCCGCCCCGAGGAATCGTGCGCACCGTCTTGCTGTGCCGCTTGCCCTGGCCTTCTACCCGAAGCTGTTCCCTGCGGAACGTGAATGCGCGAATGAGCCACCTGTGGTCCACTGACTGCTACAGTCTGCACTTGCAGACAGCACAAAGAAACATGCCTTCAATGAGGTCGGGCATGTCATTGGACAGGCGGGGTTCGGACGACAACTAAGAAACAGTAAACAGAAAGAACGCTCGAAACTATCCAAGAATGGTCGAAAAATCGTCCCAGGTTATGTTTTAACTCATCTTGAGAATTCCTCCTGCAGAGGGCCATGCCCGACTTCAGCCTTGGCCTGCTCGAGCTCGGCCAGATCCGTGCTCGCCAGTCCGCGTGGCGATGCTCAGAGGTCGCCCTGCAGGGCGGCGGCTCGAGGGACGAGGAGGCCGGCCCCAGAAGGCGGAGTCGAGGCGCGGAGGGCGGTGGAGATGCGCCGGGGCCACGAAAAAAACAGAGCACCACGAAGGCGACGACGACGACGACGACGACGACGGTCCTCCTCCTCCTCCTCCTCCTCCTCCTCCTCCTCCTCGTCCTCCCCCTCCTCCTAGTCCTCATCCTCCTCCTTCTCCTCATCCTCGCCCCCCCCCCCCCCATTGCCGAGCGAAGGGCGGTGCGAACGGGAACCCGCCTCGGGCATCCCGGCCTCGGCCAGCTTCGCTGGCAACGCCTTCACCGCTGCCATGTCCTGCCCCCTCCTCCGCCGCGGGGAGAAGCCGCAGGTCTCGAAATACTGGTTCTCGATCCCGGCGTGTCTTCCCCCGTGTCGGCATTAGGGAGCAGACCCCGGGGCCATCAAGACAGGGATCTGCGGTGAAGCGCTACCCCCTGGGACGTGGTCTGGAGCTCCTGGGGCCGCGGCTAGGACGAACCACGTCGCTGGGCATCTTGGACGAGGGATGTGTCGAAGGCTGCCGTCCCCTGGGCCGAAGCCACAAATTTCCGCCCCGCGCCCCGCGGTGCGCGACGCGCGGATCTGCCCGCGCCCTCGAGAGGCAGCGGGGCAGCTCTCCGGCCCAGGCGCGCCACGCACGACGCGCGACCTTCGTCGCGTCCCCGGCGGTGACCTCGCGCTCCCAGGGAAACCCCAGGGAGATGCAGATGCCCGTCCGTCTCGATCCTCGGCTCATGCAGTTCCGAGCCCCACGACGCTTCGTGGACCGGCAGGGCGTCTCGGCGTGAGAGAAGTGCACACCTTGCCCTGTAGCCAGCTCTTGCTGCGGCCATCGGTTTTTCCGCGGACCTCGCGCCGCAGTGTGACTACAACAGACAGGGGGGGAAAGCGCCAGGGAGGGACTGCGCACGAGGAGCGACGGGGAGGAGGAGGGGGGGAGGTGACTGAGGAAGGGGGAGGAAGGGGAAAACGGAAGGGACGAGTGAGGCATGGCTGGGGAGGCCAAGACAGGACAGGACAGGCCGCCGAGTGCGTGCCGTGTGCGTGCTCGCGTCTGCGTGTCCGAGGGGCTCAGCGGAGCTCGATCAGCTCATCTCGCCAGTGGGCGCTCTGCGCCCGTCAAGGCCCGGGCTATATACATATGTATATGTATGTATGTACGTATATATATATATATATATATATATATATATATATATATATACATACGCACCTCTCCGAGGGAGTAGAGCTCAGAGGGGATTGATGCGTCCGTGCGCGCGTCCGTCTTTGATTTTTCTGGCCGTCTCGCTAGGGACATCCTCGAAATTCTGAAAATCGGTGGCACCCCTCACGCAAATCGTGAAGGAGAGGTCCAAAAACACATAGGAATTCAACCATTTCTACATCAAACCTTCAAAAACACATGGTAATTTCAATAATTGTGACCCCGATTCTCAGAGAATGGCGGTTTCGCCTGAGACATCCTCCCAAAATCGAGCCCCAGACCCCTCCTCGGAGCCTCCTGGGGGCCTCCTGGAACCTCCTGGGGCCTCCTGGGGCTTTCTGGACCTTCTGGTACCCCAGACCCCGCCTCGGAGCCTCCTGGAGTTCTCCTGGGCCTGCTGAGGCCGCCTGGGGCCTCCTGGGGCTTCAGAACTACACGCACACACAGAGACACAAACCACGCCCAACACATCACACGCTAGACAAACACAACATACACACAACACCGACAACACACACAAAAGCACGCACCACACAAAGCACACATCACACACACACACAACGCTCACAATCCTGGGGCCTCCCGGAGCCTCTTCTGGTATCCAAGTCGGGCCCCCTGAGGTTTCCTGGGGGGGCCCTGGTACACACATCGCAAGGTGTGGCAACCCCACTTGCGCTCGAGTGCGACTTCGCTGTTGCATGTCACTCTTGCTTCAAACGCCCCTTCAGCTTGTTGTATGAGCCTGGGCAGACACGTGCCACTTGTATATATATATATACAAATATATCTGTGCAAGCTGGGGAGACTCTCGAGGGCCAGAATTGTTTTGCATCCGCAACTCTGTGTGATGACTCGACCCGGAGCTCCGTGCGACATTGACTGGCTGGGCGAGGCACCTCGACCAAGGAAAACGAGTCCCGAAACAATCACGATCCAACGGACACTGCTCGAGCTGAAAAAGGGATGGGAGCGCAGCGTGGGTGGGAGGCTCGAGCACAGGTGGCCGCGGCCCCCTCCCGCTCACCACAGGCAGCAAAGAATCTATGGCACGCCATTGCAATCTGTGCAAGCTGGGGAGACTCTCGAGGGCCAGAATTGTTTTGCATCCGCAACTCTGTGTGATGACTCGACCCGGAGCTCCGTGCGACATTGACTGGCTGGGCGAGGCACCTCGACCAAGGAAAACGAGTCCCGAGACAATCACGATCCGAAATCTAAAAACTCGAGCAACAGCGAATTTTGAAACCCTGGCCTTAGGCCAACACAAACCTGTCCAGGCTAAGAAACGTGTGGTTTCGCAAAGCCTGTTGGAAACACTTAGCTACCAGCCTACACAAGTCTTTGGGATACGGTTCTGCAATGTGCGTCCAGAAAGTGCCTGAGGCGTCTTTGCCTTCGAGGACCTGATGGGGGCGGCGGCTGAAGCTGCAGACGCCACGACCCGAACATTTACAAGGAATGAGAGGGTCGAGGTTGAGATGGCAGTATAATAGCCGAGTGCGCTTTCGCCACGCGGTCGAGAACGCGCAAAAATCAAAGTCCACAATGCGAGTGTTACGAATTCGACTGAGATGGATTGCGCCTGGGGGCTGCCACAACCAAGAGGTGCTAGGGTTCTCAATTACAGCTGGTATGTTCAAACTGCGCGCGAGCAAGAAGAGAGAGAGAGAGAGAGAGAGAGAGAGAGAGAGAGAGAGAGAGAGAGAGAGAGAGAGAGAGAGAGAGAGAGAGAGAGAGAGAGAGAGAGAGAGGAGAGAGAGAGGAGAGAGAGAGAGAGAGAGAGAGAGAGGAGAGAGAGAGAGAGAGAGAGAGAGAGAGAGAGAGAGAGAGAGAGAGAGAGAGAGAGAGAGAGAGAGAGAGAGAGAGAGAGAGAGAGAGAGAGAGAGAGAGAGAGAGAGAGAGAGAGAGAGAGAGAGCTGAAAGTGGCAAGCGTGTTTCCTCTCTCAACCTTGAGCTGGTCTCCTGGCGACAGGCCTGGCAGCCCAAGCGGAAACTGTCTCGTCCGAAGGGGCGGCGGCCCGTTGGGTCGGTTGCGGGCACGGCTCATAGAATGGCAAGGCGTCGCAATCCAGATCGCGGCGATGAGCCGACTCCGCACCCAGCCCCGCACTAGCTGTCTGATCCGTTTTCGGAGGAGGTCGCTGTCGGCGTCGTGGCGAATGTCCAGCTCAAAGGCGGCATGCTGCGACCGAAAACGCAAACGCCATGCCGCGGACATCCGCCCAGAGCCGCTGAAGACTTCCAAGAAGACGCCGGCCTTGGCGCGCCTCACCCACGAAGCCAGCTCGCCGACAGGGTGGCGCCAATCCCGCGGAACGCCTGCTCGGTTCGGAGCTGCAGGGCGCGCGGGAGGCGGTGCAGCTGCTCCTGCACGCGGCCGCCCTTGGCGTGACGTCGGAGCGCGGCATCGGTGGCCCACCTGCCGCGCTTCTGGATGTCGCGGAGGGGCCGCGCCGCCGCGTACAGCTCGTGGCTCGCGCCGCCGTGCCGCAGCTGGTGCAGCGCCAAGTTGCCCAGGACCTGCAGGCCGAGGTCGGAGACGGCAGCCTTGAAGTGGTAGTTCCACTGCGCGTAGGTGACTGGGAACAGGCGGTGGCCTGCGGGCGCGCGGCGGTGCAGCTCCTGAATGAGGCTCGGCATCCACGGGAAGCAGGTTGAGTCCACCAGCAGGCTCTCGTCGAACACACCTGTCTTGGACGGGGTCTGCCTCTCGAACAGATGGAGGACCACGCACCAATGGTGCATCGCTGTGGCTGAGGTGAATCCTGGCGGGATGAGCTGAGCCTGCGCGAGCTCCAGCGCCTCTCGCGGCCTCAAGTACAGGCCGAACGTGAGCGCGGTCAGCCAAGCGTACACCACCAGGCCCCTGCGGCACAGGGTCTCCGCGATGAGGCGCACCACGGGCCAAGGGAGCGGCAGGCGCGACCGCGGCGGCGCCAGGCGCGACCAGCCCTTGGCTGCCCGTGCCGCCCGCGGCAGGCGTCCCTGGCGCGGCCCGAGGTCTGAGCGCACGAAGGCGAGGGCCGCCATCAGCTTCCAGGCGTCGCTGCTCTCGCCCCCGTCCAAAAACTCTTCGTGAAAGAACAGCGCAAGCGCCTTGTCCACCTCCGCCGGCGTCACCCACGAGTGGCCCCGCTGGCAGGCCCACAGGCTGAAGGCGGCATGCCGGCGCTCGTAGTCCGCCCTGGTCGCATCCTCCAGGAAGGTCAAGCCCCGGCGGGGGGCCGAGGGCGGGGGCGCAGGGAAGCGGCTCGCCCTCTCCTGCCGGCGAACAGCCCGGCGGTCGCTCTCGGCTGGGCGCGCCGCAGTCTCTGACGCCGCGCGCGGCCTGCGCCGCGACTGGCTGGCAGCCGCAGTTGCCACAGCAGCCGCTGGTCGCTTGCGAGACCGCGGCGCCGGCGCAGCTGGCGTCGCCGGGCAGCCGAGGGCCGACATCGACAGCGGCGCCGCCATCGCGTCGGAAAACTGCTGCCTGGGCGGGCGCACAGGGCGCGGCAGGCCCCGATGCCTTGGCCCGCACCGCTTCGGGGATATCACCAGCCTGGGCACGAGAAGCAGGGTCAGCGCTGTTGTGCTCGGATGGGACCCAACGCCAGACTGCAGAGGACCCCGAGGCTAACAGGAGGGCGCAGGCCTGACGACAGATCCTCAGAAGCGGAGGCGACGATGACCTGCCTTTGAGCAACGCCAACACTGGGGCCATGGAGTCATTCAAGATGATGTGCGTGGTGTTGAAATTTCGAGCGGCTCGCAATCGATGCTTCAGGCATAAGACGAACGCTCTCCACTCCAATACCACCTGTGCCTCCCTCCTGGTCCATGGTGTAGACAAAACCCGATGCCATCCTTCCGCCCAGACCACCTCTGGCACCTCCTCGAACGTGACCCCCTCCTCCCGATTAAGCTTCGGCTCGACTCGGAAAGGGACTTGCTGCTCCATGGCTGCTGCTATGACTGCTGGATCTCGATCGTGCTGCGACGAGGCTTGCCTAATGCATGACGTGGTGATATGCTCAGCTTGCTTGCTCTCCGGGGCCAAGGCCTTGTCCCGCGGGGCGACCTGCTGCTCCCCATCACGACTGAATCT